CCTACCAGCCCCACCCAATTCGGAGACCGGGGTTGCAGGGCGAGGAAAAGTTGGAAAAGAGCAGACATCTGGAGGGCGCCGGGTTGGGGAACGTTACCAGGCGCAGTTCTCTCTCTCCCTCTCCCTCTCTCCCTCTCTCCCTCTCTCTCCCTCCCTCCCTCCCTCTCTCTCTCTCTTTCTCTCTCTCTGCCTCCGGTGTAGGGACGAACGCGCGTTCTCCCAGCTGACAGATGTGCGTCTGGAATAACAGAAGGACGCGAGCGTCTCTAAAACAAACATAAATAAACCTCGCGGTGGCTACGATTCCTGGATCCCTCCCATCATTCACACGGAGGAATAACTCTCGGGTGCAATTAGAGGCATCTCTCCCCCCCCCTTCCACTTCCCCGTCTCAGAACGAGGTCATTTCGAGACGTACCACCACCCAGAAAGAAGGAGAAAGACCCTCACAAATGAACCGTCAGAAGAGGGGGGGAGCAACCGCAGCAGCCCTACCCCAAATTTGCAACTCGGGGAGGCCTTTTCCACTGCGACACAGGCGCTCCGGTTTTCTCCGGACTGCACGGGAGAAAACCCCAGAGTTTTCCCGCAGAGAGCTCCCGGCCTCGCGCGACCGCAGCCCTTGGGTGCTATATTAAAAAAAAAAAACATTAAGACACCTTTTTAGAAAGAGAAAGCAAACTTTGCCTCGGCTTGGTTCAGGTGAAATCGGCCTGGGGGTGTCCGGGAGGGAGGAAGAGGCAACCCGACACCTTTCCTCCCCCCCCCCCGCTGTTTTATGGGGGGGCGGCTTTTTCCGTCTCCCTCCCATCTTCATCCCTTGGCCCAAGCAACCTTCTCTTTCAAAGCCAGCTCTCCCGAATCGTCCCGCTCGCTCGGACCGTAGCAAACAATTTAATTAGAGGCCTTTTTTTTTTCCCGTGGCCGGAGAAGAAAGCAGGGTGGGGAAGCCTTGGTGTTGGGGCAGAGGGAGCACCTCTCCGCCCATTGAAAGGCGCTGATCCGAAAAGACAGAAGAGCGGGGGTGGGGGGTGGGGCAGAAAAAGCGATTTGCTGGGGACCTTCTCTCCTCCGACCCTTTCACGCTATTCACCCTCATTCACGCACACTTTCTTGGAGACAAAACCCTTGGAAAAATGCGAAGGGAGACACCAACTAAGGAAAGGAGAGAGAGGGGGGACGGGGGGAGAGAGAGAGAGAGAGAGAGGGTCCTCCTTCATATTCCTCCCAAATTCCTTGAGTTCAAAGGGTCCGTTTGGAGAGGAGGGGGCGTCAAAATCCAACCCACCCTTTGTTCGGCTTGGTATGTCAGGGGAATTTATCTCCAAGGCCCCGCCAGCCAACCAGCTCGAGTTGGTGGGCAGGCGAAGGCCTGCCAGGCTCCTTCCTCGCGTTTAGGGTTAATGTAACTCTCACCTCTGACCCCTTTCATCCCAACGCCTCTAGGCTAACCTCCCAACTGCAGGCCAGCTTTGTAAAAAGAGAAGGGAAGAGACAGAGAAAGAGAGAGAAAGAGAAAAAGAGAGACAGACAGACGAAAGAAAGAAAGAAAGAAAGAAAGAAAGAAAGAAAGAAAGAAAGAAAGAAAGAAAGATTTGAGATTGAAACCATTCCTAAATGGATTTTTTTTAGTGCCACTAAAACCCTCCAAATAATTTCCTAGGTCTTTTTCTGCCTTTGGCTTTTCTTTCTGCCAACAGAGAACCTGCCTATGGATTCTTAGAGCTACGATTTTCAAAGTATTAATCTTTCTAAAAGATGCAAAGCTGAATTCTCAAGCTGGCTGTTTTCCTTCTTGCCCCATTACTCACAGAGACAAATACAAACAAATCCTAACACCTCCCCCCCCCCCACTTCAAGGAAATCTCTGGAA